TTTAAGGTCTTGTTTTCGAACACGTAATATATGCAACACCTGCTCATTGTACAAAGAATTTTGAGTACATAGTCAGGGCAGCACGATATGCGTGTTGAGCTGCATGCGTAGAATACCGTTTCAATTTTGTAAAATCGATTTTTTCTAGAAAAACAATGTGACCCTTATATGTCTTAAAAAGGCAGACGTCATTTCTATTCGTGTTGATATCAGTAATTTATAGTTATTGTATAGCAGTAATTTCTTTTCACCTCTTTTTTTTATATTGTTAAAATTTAAGCCATAAAAAAAAAAAAAAAGATGTAAAAACAATGATAACGTAAGCTATGCAAATATGCATAATCGCCAATTACTTGGCTATACAATAATTAGAAATATTTCATTTAAACCATATAAATTATTAATTCGTATTTTAATGTTCGAAATCAATATGAATATCATAAATATCACATAGACTGTTTGAATTAGTACGCAAAGCTTTTTAAGGTGACTATCGATCTATACTGTTAATAACTAAAGATGCGTTGTTTAATATTTAAAGTGATAACGTTTTAAATAGGTTAAAGTTTCGTTTAAAAAAAATTATACACATTTACTATTACCGTAAAACAAACTTGAATATTATCCAATGCCTTATTGCTATCGACTTATAAAATAAACTAATTTAATTTTTATGGCATTTATATATGATAAAATCATTAATCCCATTTCATATGCTGATTATAGTAAAACACGGATTGAACTATTATTGAATTCTACATAAGCGATCACTAGTTGTTTGGTTCCAGTTGGATCACCAATCAATCAGGATTGCCTATAAGATACTGCAGCTATAGATGTGTAAATATGTAACTACTGTTTATATAACTGCCAAGGATTTATGGGCACTCATACGCGTGGAAGGTCTTTAAATTCCGGAATTTTCATAAAGATAAGAAGATACTATAAACTCGTGCAATATAAATAGTACAAGATGGTCTCCTTACCCGTTGTAACAAAAAAGCAAAAAGCAATAGCTATTTTATATTCATTAAAAGAAAATATTTCTTCCAACACCATTCTTTGCTTCCAGTTCCTTAAATCTCCTCAAAACAACAATTCGCCTCATCAAATAAAAATCCATCTTTTGCTTCCAAAACTTTCTCCAAAATGAAATCGCACAAAAGACTCACTACATCAAAGCAAAAATCCGTATCGGATCAAAACACTGCCTCCTCTTCTGATTCCAAAAATTTCAAGTCACGCAAAAGATTTATTACACCAAAACAAAAACCCACATCAGAGCAAAACACTGCCTCCTCTTCTGCTTTCAAAAATTTCTCTACATCAAAGCAAAAATCCATATCGGATCAAAACACTGCCTCCTCTTCTGCTTCCAAACATTTCAAGTCTCGCAAAAGATTTATTACATCGAAGCAAAAACCCACATTAGAGCAAAACACCGCCTCCTCTTCTACTTTTAAAAATTTCTCTACAACCAAATTTATTCCTGTAAAGTCATGCGAAAGATTTACTGAATATGTCGCTTTCGGAGATTCGTTTTCTGGTATGCCATCAACACATTACCATTGATCGGTAATAGAATTAAAGTCAACTCTCCATAAATGCGCCCTCCATAGATACACACATTATGCACAGTCAACCCTTTTTATAATAAACTGAAGATTCTGAAAAAAAAATGTTCGTTATAGGAAATTATTAAGAACCCATACCACTTTTTATACCAAACTATTATGAAATTTCAACATATTGACAGAGTTTGTTATAGGAAGGTTCATTATATCCAGAGTCGACTGTATAATATCTTTAAATGCACACTAATCTTCAGTATCAAACATGTAGAACACCTAATAAAATGCACACCTTTTCTCTCTCTCTAAATGTACATTTTTAAAAATTTTGTTTATAGCCCCAAAGGAGGTGCATTTACGGAGGGTTGACTGTATACATGTTCATGCATCATTGCAAATGTTAATTTTGTCATTAATTTCTTTTTCTTTAACAAGATAACGGAAATAGTTACAGCTTGACAAATAAAACATGGCCAACACCTGTAAATTATAAAGGCCATTTTACTAACGGCAAAGTCTGGACTGAATATCTTGCTGAGCTACTCAATATTAAGTTAATAAATTATGCTTTTGGTGGTGCTACTTCAAAGTAAAAAACTTTAAATAATTAAATGTGCTTTTATGAAACGTAGTTATGTATTAATTCAGCTTTATCTCTTAACAATTTAATAGCAGCGACTTTATTCAAGGACTTACTGGTCCTCAGGCTGAGTTCACAGTACCTGGAATCAGACAACAGATTGAAATGTTTATTTCTGCGAATGCTAAATCCACAAAGAAACAAAGAGATTTTAGTAAAACTTTGTTTTCTGTATGTATTATTTTATTTATTTATTTATTTATTACCTATTTAGCTACTCCTTTTTTGTTTAATTTATCTAATAATGTCCATTTATATACAATTTTTAGTTATGGGGCGCAGGAAACGACTATATATTTGATATGTCTGTATCACCACTTGAGGCAGTCAAATCTTTAATGGACGCGCTCCGATTTCTTTTAGAATCATTACCTACTATTAAAACCATTTTGATACCTGATATGCCTGACCTATCTCGAAGTCCTGCTTATAACTCAAAAGATGCAGAGGAAAAGAAGAAAATTTCTGAAATTATCGAAACACATAATAAATCCTTACTTGAAGACCTAATCAAATTAAGCAGAGAAACTGGTGTGAGAATCATTTATTTAAAATTCGATAAATTGTTGAAAGAATTACAGACTGAAGATGCTATGATCTTTTACGGGATTATAAATGGGAAAGATGCAGCTAATAATTTTTATAATCAATCTTACTCAAATACAAGTAACGAAATTGGTGATGAAAAAAATTTATTCTTTTTTTGGGACGATTATCACGTGACCACGGTAGTTCACGAAGCTTTAGCAAATGTTTCCTTTGAAATTTTAGAAAATTTAAATTCTCCACTTTTTATAGGTATAACTTTGGATGATTATGCACAATAATAATTCATAGCATATAATTATCATATTTTTTATAATTTTTTTCTTGTAATGTTTTTTTCTTTATTTGCATAATCAATTTTCAATATATTGGACATTTGGTTTTGTAGTAAATTAGTTACCACGTTTCTATCATTAGCATAATCAATTTTTAGCATATCAGAATTTGGTTTTTGTAGTAAATTGGTTACTACATTTCTATTATTAGCATAATCAATTTTTAGCATATCAGATTGTAGTAAATTAGCTTACCACATTCTATACTGAATTCAGTTACAATTTTTTTTGAAAAAAAATTGAAACAGAAAAAAACAAATAAAAAACAAGCTATTATTGTTATAGTACCTCTTGTTATAGTGATCTCTTGTTATAGTGAAGGATAGGTTGCATAAAAACTATCTCTATATAGTGAATACGAGAGTTAATGAGAATCGCATCTAATCGGATGATCATTCATCGCGATTTCAATATTTGTCCTTTTTACATTGATGGTTTTAGAGATGTAATCCGATCAGTACTTTTATATAAAAAACCCAATTTTTCTATATATAAAAAATTATCAGATCACATCTCTACATGGTTAAAATCGTTATTCTGTTTACAATAATATGGTTAGATTTTCTTGTCTGGTCATTGATTTTAATATCCGGATATTGATCAAAAAAATCAGCTGCTTTTAGTTTGTGAATACGTATAATGAACATTCTTTACTATAAAATAAGTAAATTATGAATATTTACTATCTAACTTCATTATAGATTTTGAGTATAAAGAACATTTATTAGTCTAAGTACCATAGAGTGCAGTCTTCAGTATAGTGCCCCAGGTAGAGATGGGCAAATCGCGGTTTTTCCAAAAATCCCGCGCGTCACGCGCGGGATCCGCGCGGGATTCTTTAGCTGCCCGATACGTAAGTATCGGAGCAGCATTTTGTCCCGAATCGGTCAGGGGTATATTAATTGATCGGGTAATGCGGGGTCATGATTTA